CACACACACACACACACACACACACACACACACACACAATTACACACCTTCAGCCCTTTTACAAAATGCACACACACACACATACACATGAATTCTAGAGAATGTCATTAAATTGTATTAAATAGTCTTTTGTCCAAGGGGCAAGGACCACCCGATATATGATAATACATTAAGGCCCCATGGAAGCAGCCACTGAGCCGAGACCATCTTAAGAGCATGCATGGTGCGTGTGTGTGTGTCATTGTGTGTGTGCACATGTGCATGTGCGTGACATGCTAAAGAAACGGATGCCAGTTTGGTTTGGGGAAAAAAAGAAAACAGAGAAGGGAGGATGGAAGGAAGTTGGCGTAGGGAAACAAAGTGAGTGAGATATAGAGAAAAAGAGAGAGGAGAGGGAGAGAGAACAAGGTGGAGTGGCTGCCTGCCTGCACATGTGGCTCTCTAACAACTGTGACACATACTAATAGAAACATACCTAATAAATTACAAGCTTTCAGGGTCTGGCAAGCTGACATTTTCTCTGTACGCGGGACAATTTCATATCTGCGGTGCAAAGTCGAGGGGCTGCCGGACCAAATTGCATCACACAGAGATGCCAGAGGATTAGCATAAAAATTAACACTTAAATTTCAGCTTATTGTCAACCCCACTCCTGCACCGGCTGCCTCACAACAATCAATTCCTCTTAGGAATCTGATTAGATTCCATGACGCTTATTATCCCAGTCATGTCTGCCTGCCCCCTTCACTACCACCACCACACATACACACCATTAGCAAAGTCAGAGCTCAGGTTTTCATGACTGCCCAGACCTTTTGTTTAAATGGAATTAATTGGAAAATAAATCTAAAGGTGTGGCATTTCTTTTGACAGATGATGCTTCATCTTCTGTCCGGTTGTTTACCAGGCTGCAATAAAATACTCCCCACCAAAAAGCTTATTACTGTTTTTTTTCCTCAATTCTCTTAAATTTCTGGTCAAACCCAAATAATAAGATGCAATAACAACCCCCCCCAACATTGATCTATTCAGTTAAGATCTGATCAAATTGCTTCGGTCTTGTTAATAACTGTTTTCTCCCATCAGTCCCACCTTCTTCTATTTAAAATCACCATCTGCCGTCACATTTTTTATGTGTACCACAAAAAGATGAAAAAAATAAAAAGCTCATGAGCATGTCGCAATAAAATATTTGTCAATATCCATTTCTGTTGGAACACATTGCACAAGTATGTACTAAAAGCACAGTGCGCATTGGGTGGCTTTGGTAAGACTCTTGATTGTTTAGACAAATGACATTTCATYGCATCCAGATGTCTTTAAGCTGTGCTCAACCACCATCAGGGCTTTCCAAGGCACAAGCTGAATGTATACAAACATCTCCTCATAACTGCATTCCTCATCTGGGCCTGCAAGCGTCACAGCCCTCGTCATTGAGCTTGGAAGACAGCCAGGCATGCTAACATTTTATATTTGGATTTTTTTTAAGTTATCTTCCCAGAAGAAGAATATTTTTACGAGAATAAATGTTGCAAAAGTTCACTGAAGTTAAAGTCAAAGCTTATCTTCCTGTCAGTCTACTAGAACACTGAGTTTTGAGTTGATGTGGCTTTTGAGAAACCCCAAGTAATGATTAAGGGACCTTTTTTCTGAATACAGGACAAAATAAAATGTATCAATGTGACAGAGACTGAGGTACACCCAGGGCCTGRGCAGGCTTTTTAACGTAACACCCGTACAAAGGGTCTCAAACAAAGACACCCACGGGGTTGAGAGAAGGAGTGAGGAGAGAGGGAGAAGGAACAAATCGTCTGATGTTCT